TAAAATTGTAAAAATTGTTTTCTCGGTTGCAAAATAATTGAGATTGAAGTTCTGCAGTATTTATTCTATATTCGTTCATCTTTACGATATAAAAACAAATCCTTAGTATATTTTTTGTGGAGAATTTCACGGCACATTTTTAAGAAAACAGTAAAACTTAGGGGGATGAAATCCAACTGGAATATGAGCAAAATACTAAGTGACCGCTTCGTTATGGACCACCTGATGATGATGGTGATTTATTGCGTGAGAAATGCCCAGGCCTGTTGCCCGCTTGCACTACAGTGTAGATAAAATGATAATTCTATAAAAAAGTATTAAAAGGTTGTGAGAAGAAGGGGGTGTACTGATGAGGGGTATTTTCTACTTTTTATTGTAACTGATGGAAAGGTCATTCTGATTCAATAACCGTACACGTTTTATTTCAGAATATAACTTCAGTATACAAATACACACCAGGGACCGAAACGGGTCAATTAAACGTGACCCGAACCGGACTCGACTGAAACGTGAGTTGATCTGAACTCGACCCAAATCAATATCTTATAAGTTGCACGTAATTAAATTGGCCAGTGCTTCAGCTTCAAAAGTACCGTTCGTCTTTAAAAATTATTTTTCCTTGCTGAGAAAATTCATTTTTTCTAAATCAGAGGCGAAGCACTCGGAATTCTGCATGTATTCCTCAATTTTCTCGATCAGAAGCCAACTTCTGAGCAATACAGATATCATATTCAGAAACAGGATCAAAAACTGAGTCACGTGATCTGTATTTTGCAATTTTTGGTTGATTTTCATTGTTGGGTGAAAATCCCGGTAATCTTTCAATATGAAAAATCGAAAAAAATGAAAGTAGTCGGATAAGATAGAAATACACATCCAGCGGCTCAGTTTTTGTACCTGATTCTGAATATGATATCTGTATTGCTCAGAAGTTGAGTTCGGATCGAGGAAGTTAGATGGGTTTTGGGGGAAAGGGTCTCGGATTCTGCGTGTAACAGGTTCCGGGACCTAAAAAAGATCTGCATTATGGTACATGGACTCTCACATAAGTCGTCGATATTGATAGATATTCTCTTGTATAACTGGGCTCTTACACACGGGGGGTCGGCACCGGGCCCCCCCCTCTAGCCGGGTATATCTTCTTCTTTTCCGTTTTTAATCGGGGCCGTTCCACCCCCCCCCCCCCCCCCCCCCCGCTAAAATTGTCTCCGACACCGTACATCCGATCTTGACGAAACTTTCCATAAATGTTAGGCACAATGAGTTACGGGATGAAAAAACCTTTTGTCTCCAAGTGTTATGGTTTAGGAGTTTTCCAGAGATCAGGGTCCAAAAAGGATCCTGAAGTGCGTCCTAAGATTTGTTAATATATTTCAAGCTGGAGAGGTCGGTGTTTTAAACTAGACACCTAACTACATGGACTGATAGGCGCCGATTTTTCAGTTAAGCCTTTATTGGTTTTACAGGCAACCAACAACCTCCAAAACCCGAAAAATCCTTCATCTCTCTAAAAGTCTTCAGTTTGACAAAAAACTAAGACCTAATTCTAAAATCGACGCCGGTCAGCCCATGTAGTTTCTTATCCTTTATAAACAAAAAAGAATGAACTCTCTACGGCAAACCGCTATTAAAAATCTTGGAACGCACTTCACGTGTAACTCTTATATAGAGAAAACGCTGTATTAAACGCTGTATGAAATATTAATTTTTAGAACTTCTAGGAAAATGCTTGTAACTTTTTGATGCAAAGCCATACAGAGTTGTGCGAGGTCTTCTTATGAACAGAACCGTTTGCCCTACAAATCTGTGTGTTCAGAAAAATTTTAATTGCATAAATATCCAGGAAAAAGCTATTATTTGAAGACCTGGTTGTTAACCAACATCAAACACATCTCAAGGTCAGATATAAAACATTGTGGTTTGTGGTTTGACACGCTATATTTAATCAATGCATCACAGGTACTGATTGCTAAGAAAAAAATCGTGAAATAAGTGAAAACCCAAAAAACGTTGAGACAAAAAAGAAAATAGAATTAATAAAAAAATTTTCCTGTTCTCCGTCTTCCATGTAATAATTTATTTTGACTGAAGAATTTCTCTTGCTCTGTCCTTTATATTTCATTCTCTGTTGTGTTATTCTATCTAATTATGCCTTTTAAAGTAGCTGAAATAGAAATTCACAGCGAAGGCGGTGCAGCGGAAATCCACGGGAATAAACTGATAATTTTTGGTAGCGCACCTTGTGCGCAGCACAATTGCTCTCTAATTTCATTTAAGTATCATCATCAACATGTTCATCTGCTGTAACTACTACTTTGTTTCGTTCCACAACGGGAATCACTGCACAAATTACCGCGCTTATCAAGCAGAGGAAACCACCAATTAATGCATAAACGGCACCTATTCCCATTTTAAATCCCGATAATGCCGTTGCATATTTAACTCCATATCCAAATCCGACACAGGCCGGAATGATTGGCAAGAAAGCCGCAATTGCACCAAATACCATTACACATTTTCGATGTTTGTTCGCACCCGAACTTAACTCTAACAACCAAAGTACACCCATTCCTGACAATATAACTGAAGCCGTTAGACATTGTCTTGCTACTTTCGATTTCAAACAATTTGATTTTCCATAAGAATCAAATGTTGAACAATTATCCGGTAATTCATCACATCTATTATTTTCATCGCAGATTTCATTCAAGCCAACATATAATTTTCCATACGAACCATCTTCTTTATCCAACTGCAAACCATGCCCCCACCTCTTTGAGCTACCGCTTATATAAAAGAAAAAGCAAGCAAGCAGTAATATCGAACCGGATATACGGATGCTAATCGGCCATATTATTAATTTTCGAAGAAGTTTCAAATCCATCTACTGTAATAAATTCTATGACGATAACATATAGTTGAAATGACTTTTCTTTATTTCTGTAAGTTTGTGTATGCCGTCACAGAACAGAAAGAAAATGACGTTGTCATAGAGCGAGGCAAAAAATACGTGCATTATTTCGTTCTGTTTTCTTCTCTCTGTCATATGTACGTATACAGAAACGAGATTGATTTTAGTTGTTATTAATCAAAATTGCTAGAAATATAAAGTAAGAGTAGAGTGAGAGAAAAAAATGTGTTGAAACGTTTTTCTTTCACAGATGAATGGCATTGAATAATAATTCCATACGTTCGGTCCCTGCCGGTAAATAATATTTGAATAAACAGTAACTGCTGAAATCAACGAGTAAAAACAAAGTGAGGACAATCACAATGCTTGGCTGCATTTGCTCTCTCTCCCTCTGCACAGTGCGCAACAACGTGGACATTTGGGGAAAAAACGAAAGTGAGATTTTTAGAGATTCAATGAGTGCTACATATACAACGATCAGGGGCCTATTTAATGGTGAAAAATTTTGGCTCTAGCGCCTAAGGTCATCGAGAAAAGTAAGCTGCAATTTTTAGCTCGGTTTGTGTGGCCTTTAAAAAATATTGCTCTTTCTGTCAACAGAACGAACTTCGGAAAAAATGAAACACACATACTCTGAAAGCTGAGTTTCCAGGCTATCGATTAATAAAAATAGTTTTTAATTTTAGTTAGTTTTTGGTGGGAGAAAAAAGAGTTTTCCGGAGACTAAGCGTTTTTCTCAAAAGTAATTTTAGTAGAGTTGGGGCCCTAAATTCCCCAGATGTCCACCGAAGCTGGAACTTTCAGGAAATATTCTTCTTTATATGATACGTCTGTACACTTAGCCCAAAATAGCCCAAACGCTTCCCTGCAGAGGGAGAGGTTTCCCAAAAACCCTTGGTTTTCGAGGTAAAATCGAGTCCTCGCAGTTCAGAAACATCAGAACCAAGAACCAATTGCATATTCAAAATCAGCTTAAAAAACTGCGTCGAATGGCGTATAATTCATTGGGTTTTCGACATATACTTTTGAATCTTATCGAATTCTTAGATTTTGGGATCGGCATGTAGAATTTTTTGCCCAAAAATTTAAAAGTCATGAACGCTTCTAAAATATTTTTCTATAGATTTTCAGCGATGCTCTTTCCAATGGAATGGTTTTTGAATTCTGATAAAGTTTTTGAACTGGTTTCGGGAGATCTGGTCTCTGGAAAACCCCTTGGAAAACTTTTTTAAAACTCGAAAACCATTCGATTGGAAACAGCGTCGTAGAAAACCTATAGAAAAATGGTTTAGATACGTTTGGACTGCTTTCAAAACTCATGTCCACGTGCTTGGTCAAAATTGCTCACTGTGCTCTGTCCCAAAAGATAAATCTTCTGGAGACTGCCATACAATTAAAGTATAAAATATAGGAAAAATAAATTGAACTTTTTTTCTATTTTTTTTAGCCGCAATATCGTCTTCAACACGTGGAAAGGGATGCAATAAACGAATAACTGCCTGCCAATTTATGAAGGAAAAACTTTGGTTTGAACTCAAAATTTCTCTTAAATATTTGAAAAGGTTTAACTCTGGCTAGGTTTCTCATAAATTTGACATCTATTTTGCTCATTTGGCTATATTTTATTTCCTTCCCTGAAACAGCGTTTATTTAAAATTGAAAATGCTAAATGATGCAGGATCGTGAAAATGATAAAATATGTTTCAGATCTGTTAAATCAAGAATTACTGTGGTGATCAGTAAGGATAAAATGTATTCATATGTGATAGACAATAAGAACAAAAAAAGAAAAAATACTTCTGATTATATCCAAAAACAGGTCTGATTCTCTAAACAATTAATTTTTCTTTATTTGATAGCTACCTTGTGGATTTATGTTTGCATAGTTTTCCTTTATGTTATGACCTTGTCAGAGCATAAGCCTCGATTCTCATTTTTCTATATCCTTGTGTATTAGCCGCGTGATTGTTTTTCTTCTTTCGTATATGTTACTGTCCAGTTTTCTTTTTCTTTATGTTTTTATTTTCGCGTCAGTCTAGTTTTGTACAGTGCTAGATATACAGATTTGTTATACTTTTTGTTTTCATATTATTCGATAAAAGCACACTTTTCGTGCACATGTTTTATCTCGATTTTTGTCAGCCGTAGTAATAGAGTACGGGGCTTTCTATTCACTAAACTACTACGGAGTTTGACAACATCAAATAATGAAACAAATTTATATTTCTTTTGGCGCCATATGCTCCAGTTGTTCTTAAGATGAAAAATAATTTTCTTTCATATCTCTGTTCTGTTATTCTTGCTAATTATGTCTATTAAAGTAGCTGAATTAGAAAATCATGTAATACACCAAATGATGAAACATATTTATATGCACAATAGATCGGAAGTAAATAGAAAATTATTACTATTTTATGCATGATAAGTATGTTGACTAAGTTTTCGTACATCAATTACAATAAAAAATACAAATAAAGGGGTCTGCTGCTCTCACTCGTTAGACACAAATATATTTTTAGACTATAGCTCTAATAGTCTGCACACATTGGTTTTTACAGAATTCAATCGCACGCGGGAAAAAGGTTTTTTTCAATTTACGATCATGCATCGGATATAAGTTGAGAATAAAAATAACAAGGTTATTGGTTACAGTAACTTGTTTTATGAAAGAGGAAGCTAGTTTAAAAATACATTTAGTTAAGAATTCAGTTGAAGATTGTATGTGAACATCGAGAGTAGAAAACCATGGCGGTAAGCGGTAACGGATTTTCAACGCGGTACTCTGCACAAGTTGGAGTTTGGCCAAACGGGGTCCGAAAGACACAGAAGAGTTGGAGTAGAGTCTGTTAAGAGGGATGAACAAAAGTGTTAAGCACAAACACAGCAGTGTGAATGTAAAGTCCCCAACGCCTGTCACACACACTTTTTAAAGCGCCGAGTCTCTTTCGAGCACGCAGACACACGTCATCCACACGAAGAGAGAGCGACATATATTGATACAAAATAAAACCTAGGTATTTAAAATGTTTAACTTTTTCTAATACACGGTCATTCATCAACAGACTCAATTTTGCGTTTCTGTCAGCTGGACATTTTGTAAAAAACATGCATACAGTTTTAGCATAATTTATTTGAAGACGCCAAAGTTTATCACCAAAAAGTTGTAACATTTTCTCTCCCTGTACACTATTAAAAAGATTAGTTTATTTGTAACTTGAAAATAATCTTGAATATCAGAAAACTGTTTCTCGTAACATTTACCAACTTCTTAACAGTTCTTTAAGATTTCTCCACAGTTCTAGAATTAAGGAACTATCTCTTCCTATTTTGAATTCACAATGTCGTTCGTCATTAGTTATCTTTCAAAAAAATCACTTGGCCGTTTGTTCTATCTTTCGAAAGAAAGTAGAATGTCTCAACAGAAAAGAAACATTTCAAAATTCTGGAGTTGTAATTTTGTTCTCCGTCTCAAGGCAGTTCGAATGGTGTATGAAATAAGGTTACATCTCTTGAGGCAAAAAACTAGATAGGTTTGAGAAACAAGGACTATGCTTTTGAGTTCTCTTGAAAACAGATTTTCCCCTCCGGCTACGTGGTATGTGAAGAACTTCAAAAGCATATTTTCATAGAGAATTTCAACATGATAAATTCGAAAAAAAATGTTTCAAGGCTACAAAACGTAACGGGAAAAAACTAGAGTCATTTTTCTGAAAATGAACGAATTTTCGATTTTTTAGGTTTTCTCAGTATTATGAGTTGTTTTTCACGAAGAAACGACGGAAAATCTGAAATGATAGACGCTTTGACGGATAAAGACTATTAGATAGGCTTACGAGGGAACATTCCCAGGTGCCCCGCTCCGATTTCGCTCGTTCATACATCATTCGATAGGGGGTCTAGAGCAGATAAAAAGCCTAAAATGATATCGGCCGATGACTCTTTAAGACTCGGTTTTCTGGAAAACCAGTTTTTCAGGAACTCTAACAGAATAACTAAAACCTTTGTTAATGGGACATGATTGTAGCCTGCGAAATTCTCATAAAAATGAGACATCTCCCAGCTCTATATGACCTTTCTTTGCAAAGTTATAGAATTTGCAAGAAAAGCTCTAAACGTTCATTGTCAACTCAAAGCTGCAGAAATCAGAAGAAATTAATTTAGGGCTTGTCTTGTAAATTCTATAACTTTGCAAAGAAAGGTCATATAGAGCTGGGAGATGTCTCATTTTTATGAGAATTTCGCGGGCTACAATCATGTCTCATTAACAAAGGTTTTAGTTATTCTGTTAGAGTTTCTGAAAAACTGGTTTTCCAGAAAACCGGGTCTTAAAGAGTCGTCGGCCCATATCATTTTAGGCTTTTTATCTACTCTAGACCCCCTATCGAATGATGTATGAACGAGCGAAATCGGAGTGGGGCACTTGGGAATGTTCCCTCGTTAGTGCAAGTTCCCTTGCTACCAAAATCGCAAAAAGAACTTTCCTACCGTAAATTTCGAGTAGGGATCCGTATAGTCTACAGATGCCATTTTGTGTCAGAGCACAATCTTTCCTCTTTTATTAACGAAAACGACCTGATTTTTGTGTAAAATCCTATGTAGAAAAAATGCTGGCTCGAGGCTACATATCCGACTTAAGCCAGTCCTCTTTCTTTAATGACGTTATTGATTGGGATCCCTTTGTAAACAATAGAACGAACTTGGGTTATGCGCTTTTTTAGGCTAAAGCGTGTAACAAAGATGATCATAAATCATAAATGTTATCTTCTCGAATAGGAGTGCATCGGTTATTTTTTCGTATTTTTTAAAAATTCACAATAAATGTTTTGTATTTTCATAAAAACGATTTGCAACATTTTTCTAAAACGGTAGTTTTGTAGAGAAAACATTTCTCTACAAGAGTAGCGTTTTTGTT